ATAATTTAATTAATCATTAGCCAGTTTACTAAAATGTCTATATTCATAATTCAATCGTTTTTTCCCACACTTGATAATTTGCATAACTCTGAAATTTCTCACACACAAGTCACGTTTTGTAAATACGACCAATTAAAAACATTAAAACGCACGAACCCAAAATTAAATGATAGAGATGGTGTAATCTTACAATTTTTGATCATAATTGCAAGAAGTTATCGGCTGAATTTTGATGTACACGATTATATCATAACAAATTAAAAAAATAACAAGAGTTATATTCATGCAAGATCTCATGAATTTAGGTGATAAAATGGGTTTTCGTGCCAATTTTAAAAAAAAAACAGTTTTTTTTTTTCAAGGCGGAATTTGGTTTATTGTCAATTTCGGTCTATCAAAATCTGAAAAATCATGTTTTGAACCCTTAAAACCGGAGATACTTGGGCTTTATTGTTCAGTATTTTTTTTATTTAGTATGCCAATTAGCACTCGATATAGAGCTTTTAACATTCTATCTTATTTTATATTATTTATATTATTTTATATTTTTTATTTTATATTACTTTATTTTAAATTATTTTATTTTACATTACTTTATTTTATATAGTTTATTTTATATTACTTAATTTTTATATTATTTTATTTTATTTTATTTATTTTATTATTTTATTTTATTTTCTATCAATAATATCAATAAGGTAATTCCCTAATCTAATTCTTGTTTTCCTAAATTGGGAACCTTATAAACGTAGCATTATGTATAACTGCCACTTTCACTAACTAATTTTCTTTGTTATCGCTATTTTAGATCTTTTTTTTTTTATGCATAAAAAAAATAATATTTCTTATAGCGTTTTATTTAACTAAATCTATAAATTTCTATATAGCGTATGATCGCGTGATTTGGATTTACGGAAATTACAAATCATCAAAATTTACCAATTAGAAATGTAATCTAACTGGACTTTTATAAATAATTTGTGAATTTAAGTTGCCTAAAGCCAAATAGCATTATATATTAAATAATCATATTTTTGATATATTAGGCGACTTTCAAATTTAATGTTTAGCCGATAATATTTTCTGTAATTAGATCTACATTCTATCAATTTTAACAGTTTGCAACTTTATCCAATCATGTTTATAATATACAATATGGTTAAGCCAATATTTTCTATAATTGGGTACATACAACTTTATCAATCTTTTCAATATATATTATTTTAAATCAGCGAATATGCAAAACAAATATTTTGAAAACGGCGCATTACCTAAGTCAGTATTTCTTAAATGGGTTTGACTAGATATGACTCAAATACTTAACAAGTCACTAAAGAATTTTATTTCATTTTTAAAAAATTCTCGGTCATTATTTAATTATGGAGAATAAAAAAACAAATGTAAAACCAATCCGCTTCGTTCGACAAAAAATAGTTAATACTTCCAAGCGAAGAAAATCTCTGAATAAAAGTAAACTTGAATCTTTTCTATATAAATTTAAGTTACAGCATTCTCCTGTTAATTTCAGGCAACAACAAGACTTGACGAATCTAAAACCCATTAGTCTCAAACAAGTGCAATATATAACAAATCCAGCTTCTTTTAATTCCAAGAAACAACGAGACATGTCTAATTCAAAATCTAGTAATTTCGAACAACTGCAAAACATTGCTAGCCCAATACTCGATAGTTTCAAACAATTGCAAGATATAACACTCTTTGATTTCGAAAAAAATAAAGATATAGTGAACCCATCGCAAGTAAATTATGTAAATCCCGAACAACAGAAAAATATAACCAGCTCGATGCTCGTTAATTTCGAACAATAGCAAGGCGTAGCAAGTATGCCCTCTATTAATTTTGTGGTGAGTTCACCACAAGACATGACTAGCCCAGAATTTAGTCATGAATCAGAAATTACTATTGTATCTACAATTGGATTGGTTTATCTCAATATGACGC